CCCCGAACCAGTTCTAGCAGAGCAAGACCACGTAAGGCCAGAGTCACCACGGATACACCTACACCCAATCAACCAGCACCAGAGCCAGGGTCCAGCCTCTTCTTCACCCCAAGTTTACTCTGTTATTTCTCTTAGCGGTGTCCAGAGGTGAATGCAAGTATCCAGACATCCTCCCATCATTGTTCATAATGATAATGGCTAACATTTATTGAATCATATTATGTGGTAGGCACTAAGTGCCTTACATATATTATCTCATTTAATTCCCACGACCGTATTATCATGCCTGTTTTACAGAGGAGTAAATTAAAGTTTGAGATGTTTAGTAACTTAAAGTCACACAGCTGGGAAGTGGTTTAGCTGTGATTTGAACACAAGCAGTCTGACTACAATTCTCTTATGTGCTGGGTGCTCTGATAGATTTGGTGACGTATCAAAAGTGAATGAATAAATCTCCTAAGGCTACTGAATTGTATACCATAAAAGGATGAATTTTATGATATGTGAATTATGTCTCAATTTAAAAAATCTGAATGCACATGAATTGTGGTTGGGATAAATACTGACCACATCCCTAAGAACTTAGTGGACCTGTTTCTCCTGGTGTAAACCAGGTAACAAAAAAATAAAAATTTTCTCAAAAAACAAAAAGATGAGTGAACTGTCTCAGGCATCTCTGCAGTCCAACACAGCTAGTTCCAAATGCCAGTCCTGCTACAGAGCTGTGAATGGCAGAGTTCAGCTTTCTCTCCTGTGACGTGGGGACGGTGAGCTTTGGATTGTCAGGCAGTAGTGCGGATCCGGAGGGCAGGCTGAACCAGGCAGCGAGCAGGCTGGTGCTAAATCACAGCAGATAGCACAGTTTCCTGCGGGCAGGCTGGGGGAGTTCACATGGCCCGCTCACTATGCCCACCCCAGGAATATGCTGCAAGTCCTGGAAGCTGCTGAGACCCATGCAGGGACCCAAGGCCCCCCGGCTCTGCTCATCCATATCGCAGTCTTTCCTGTCTCTCCATGTTTGTTCCAGGGTTTCTGCCTAGGATTCTACAAGGAGGACAAACGCCTTTTCTCTTCACTACCCACCTCACTCCATCTCTGGCCTGCCAGGGGCTGTGATTCCTGAGGCAGGTCAGCGTATGAGCTGTGAGCAGGCCCCCCATCCCCCTGGCACCCTGACTCTGGCCCATGCCCAGCACTGTCCTCCCAGGCAGTGCTTGCCCACAGGGGCCACGTTGCTATGGTGATTCCACTACCCACACAGTGTCCAGGGAGACAGCATGGTGTAGCTGAAGCTGTTTGCAAGACTTGCAGAAACCAGGCTGGGAAGATTCCTGAAAGTGTCAGAGGGAGTGGGGGATGGGATCGAAGTGTAACTGCCTTCCTAGCAGAGCTGTGTGTGTGTGTGCATGCACTCATGCATCCCCCACCTACGTATAATGGTCCTTCCGAGCAGAGGCACAGCCCCTAGAGAGGCACAGTCTCATGATTGTCATAAGTTTCTTCTGGGGTGGTGGTCATGGTTTATCACTGTGTTTACTTTCTAGATTGAAAACTAAAAGGAAAAAAAAATGGCATCCATCTGGCAGAACAGACTGCACTGTGACTTATATTGCTGCACATCTGGAAGCTGGCTTCATGTTCTACCTTGTCACTTGTCCTAGAAGATTTCCTACAGAACACAGAGCAGGACACCAGGAAATTATACTGTGGCGGGGAGAAAGATGCTTACCCATCCCCACCACCAGCATTCATCCTATATGCCAGGTAGCTCACCTGAATCCTCATTTAGAGCACACCATGATCCTGCCCAGACGTTACGCTCATTTTACAGATGACACAGCTGAGGCTCAGAGAGGCTGAGTCCCTTGCCACAATCAGGAGCTTGTACACGTAGGAGGCGGGAGTCAGACCCAGGCTGTTTAAGATCTGTGCTCATTGTACTAGATGGCCCTGCTTCTACCTCCTTCTCCCCTCTCGGTGGGAGTTTCCTGGGGGCAGCCTTCCAGGCCCAGAGAGATCAGAACCTAAGTCGCCAGATCCCCTGGACCAGTGGCGAGAGCACAACCCAAAGTGTCCCCACTGGGGCCTGGGATTTAGGCACTCAGTTCAGGAGCTTTCAGTTCCCCTTCCTGAGTGATACTGGGAATTATTAAATAAATGACCCCAGTCCTCACGCAGGTACACGTCTGTGCTGACCCAATTCAATCCAGAGTAGTTAATCTCTGCCTTTTTCCCACAGTCATGAATGTGGGTTCCCCTTTGCAGAGCCTCTGAAACAGCCCTGACTGCAAATCAATGAATCCTCTGGGGTGCTGAGGACGCGCCCTAACTCCCTCCAAGCCCTTGGGTTCAGAGCCAATGCTGATTTGTAAAGTGCTTCATGACTTATTCACACTGCCTTGCCAGGCTTCCTGGGGGACGAGGTTCCCTTCACACAGATGAGCACGGCTTCCAGAAGAGAATGTCAGGCTTCATTAAAGAAAAGCCCGGCTGTGGGGATGTCCTCTGGGCTCCCTCACCCGTGTCACCCTGCGTTTGTAGGATTCAGGTCAAACTCAAGAAGGCGTCTGTGCCTTAACAGCCTTTGGCTCCCGAGCAGGGTGAGATGTGAGGTGCTTCCTTTGGGGTGGGGGGGAAGACTCTGCGAGGGCTGTGCCTCCAGTCTCTGCACGAGGAGGTGGACTGGGCTCGCGGATGTGTTCCCAGGGGCAGGTGGTGAGTGAGGGGGGCCGGGCAGAGGGACCGCGGGAGGGGCCAGGGGGCTAGAGCTCTGGCGATGCTCCCTGAGTCTCAGCTGGGGCACCAGAGTGGGCCCCTCAGCTCTCAGGAATGCCACCGGGGGATCCGAGCTGGGTAAACAGAAGCCGCCAGACTAGTCCCTGGTATATTCATTATTGTATATGAATATGACAATTCATTATTGTCATGAAGGTCTCCTCGAACTTGGGAGGGAGTCCCCAGCACAGAGGAAGAAGGAAATCCTTGCTCTCCTTGCTTAGCTTCGTCAAGGAACTTGATCCCCTTGCTTGGGCCTCCCCACTGCCCAGGAGGGCTGACCACAGACACGTGGCATCCATGCAGTCACAAGGCACCACGGGGCACAAATGCTGATGTGGAGATGTAGGGACTTCATGGGCTCACACTGTCCCTAAAATGAGCAAGACCCCCACAGGATGTGGTCATCATCCTTGGGCCAGAGGTCACCGTCTGGGGAGAACAAACTGCCAGACCATGCCCACAACGACTTCTGAGCAATCGGCTTCTCTGGAAGGAAGCTGACTCTGGGCACCCCAATGCCAGGCACGTGGAGGACCTGTGACTCTTGAATTCACCTCCTGAACCCCCAGAAGGGCCAAATAAAGAGGGAGAGGGGGCAGTACTGGGCTGGAATAAAATGCTTTGAGTAGGAAGCTTGAACTGAGTGAGCTATGGAGCCCTTGGGGTTTGACTACCCTCCTCCAGGTCCGCCCCAGAGAAGAGGGGTACCTGAGCACCCCAGTGACCTCACTGCCTCTCTGGAGTACCAGGGACCTGACCACAAATGGAAACATCTCCAGTGGAATGTCTCAGACAAATTAAGTGTTCTGTGGACATCTCACTCATTGGACAATTCACAATGAAGTTACTGGTGACAATAACAAGTGCCATAAAAGAGTCCATCTGGTCTAGTCACCTGCGGGAATCCCAGAGCATCATCACACACAGTGTAAGGTCCTGGGGGCTTCCCTCCTTTCCATGTGCTATCCTAGAGCATAGGGTCCCCTCATGGTCCTGAAAGTCCTGGGTGGGGGTGGTGACCTGCGGCACACAAAGGGGTCCTCTACTTGTTTATCCCTCGCTGCCAATTTTCAAACCATAACCATCCAGCAGTGGATGACACTGAGATGTTAGAGCAGCAGATAGGACCTGAAAGGGACTGCTTTGCTAAGAAGGGCCCACATTGCCATTAACGCCTTAGTGGAAAACAGCAGCAATACAAGAGCAGCTTTCAGATTAATCTGGTTGGTGTGGATCCTTTGCCCATCCCTTCTGGCTCTGGTCCTCCAGGCAGGGAATTGGATGAATTATTGCATTTGGACGATAGAGAGACCGAAATGGCAAATGCAGTTTTGGTAGGTCACAGTAGTCAAACTCTAGAAATAAATCCTACTGTTCTCAACTGAGAGTTAGTTCCACACAACTGCTAACTGCTAATGTATAAACTCCTTCAGAAAAACTAACAACAGCAGCTGGGCATCAAAAATTTAAGGCATCAAGAAGCATAGTCTTCAATTTTCAAAATAATATTTCTAAGATACAGTAAATAACGACCCTGTCTTTTGGGTGCTCTAAAATATGTGCATTTCCACCACAAGGGTAATATAGTTCTCAAGGGGTAAACATTGGTTCTTGGATGTAGAAAAATATTATACTTTTATGTATAACCTATAGATAAACATACAGTACTTAACAGTCATACAGTGTATCTTTAGTATTAAAATTTCATGATGGGATGATTAGGAAAAAAAACCAAAAAAGTCTCCTTAGGGGGCAATAAGGAAAAAAATGGTTGAGGGACAGTGCTTAATAGCAAATAAGAGTTAGGATCTCTTTTTGTGACTCAAAGTCACCCGTCCAGACATCACTCATTATATTCTGTGATGGCTATTGAGGTAGGTGGCCAGATTTGTTGCTTGTTAAATGGCCCTGCCCCTGTCCCTGGGGCTGATCCTATTCTGGTTGGGACTTTTTCTCCCTCCCATTTCTAGGTTATCCGATCCTTTCTCAGTGGGCTGTCTTCTAGCAGTGGCATGTTACATCCATGATCTTAATTTTACAGGCATTACTTAAGTCCATCCTAGTCTGAAGGCAACAACAGATTGCCCCATTGAATGAATGAATTGTCTTTTGCCTGTTCATGTATTTTCACGTGTTTCTGGGTTTTTATCTGTGCTTTTGACGATTGAGGCCACCAAGAAAACCTTATATCATGTATCATTGGAACATTCAGGCTGACTTACAGTGCAAAGTGTTTCAAAGGTCTTTTCAGAGACAAAGGATCCATCAAGGCCAAAGAGAAATATAGAAGCGTAGGAGAGCATTCCTCCAAGGATGATAAGGTTGTTCATGTATGGACTCGACATCTTGATCAGCCTGCCAAGAGAAAGAGAGTAACAGCTAACAGAACTGCTCGAGTAGCTATTCCTTCAACGAACACTGTTTGAATACCTACTAGGTGTACATTGTTGCCCAGGCTAGAGGGGGAGGGGGAAATGTAAGCCCGGGTTTCTCCACTATCTCTTCCCCAAGACAAGCCACCCACTAGGGGCTGTTCCCCTTTCACTAAAGGACTCCATCAGCTATCTATTTGCAGTTGATTTGTCCTCAGTCAAGTTCAGCTATCACTTCTGTAGGAATAGCACGTAGCATCAACTTCCTCAGCCACTAGTTTTCAGTTTACATATAAACATTAAGTCAACAGGTGTTTTTTTTTTGGCTGGAGCTGGGAAGACATGTCCAATCTAGAGAATGCTACCTTTAAATTCAGCAACTTTCCATAGCAAGGGGGTTATGGCCCCAGCACACTCCCCTGCACTGAGTGGACCAGGTCTAGGAGGTCTCAGGGTGGGTAAGAATTCAGAGCTGCTCAGGAACTGTGATCAGGCGTGGGTGAGTGGGCATCCACTTTGGCTGCCTGAATCTCACCCTGTCCCAAGCATAAAAAATGTCATACGGTGGGTAGGAATGCCTCCTCTCATCTCCAGATGATGAAGGTGGATGACAGAGTCCCCATCCTCACCCCAACCTGTGTCTTCACCAGGCTGCTGTTGGGGGCTGGGGGCGTCCTTTATGTTCCCAAATTCTACAGCTTTCTCTCTCACTTCCTTAGGAATTGTGTTGTGGCTCCCAGCTGCCCAGCAGTCCACAGCTGGGTTAAACCACCAGCCAGCTGAAATTCACCCTCAGAGGTGCCTGGTTCCCCAGCACAATGTGGTCGAATGTCTAGGGTTTCTGGGTGCCTGGTGGTACAGACACCCTTCTGCAGATTGTAATTATGGTCAACTGTTCCCTGAACATTTTCTTTTGCATTCTGCAATTCTAATAATCCTTCCACATTTATAAAATGTAATGTGTCAAAGTGGTTGAGAGATAAAAATCCTGTCCTGCTGTAAATTGTGCCCCACCATGTGTCCAAGCCTGGCCCTGCCCACCGGCAGTGGGGCATGCTTGAGAAGTCACTTGGCCTGGCTGAGTTCCCTCCTGTGTAAAATGGGAACACAGACCACCCTGCCTAGGACACATGCAAAGTTGAGATGAGGTGGGTTCCTGGAGGTCCTCTGGCAAACCACGAACTGCTACGGCCCTTAATCCTATGACCACAGGAAGCTGGGGAGGGCAAAGGCCAGGATTTGGGCAGCCTGCATGAGGTCTGTCAATCCAGAAAGCATCATCCAAGAAGGCAGGAGAGGCTTACTTCTGATTGCGATTCTTGATGTTGAAGAAGAGAAAAGCGCTGGCCATGATCATTCCCAGGATGGTGAGAGCAGAGAGGATGCTGTAGAGAGGTAGGGAGATCTTACGGAGCTGCTCCAGGATGATGGTCTTGTCTTTTGGGGGTTCGGATCCTAGAAGGCCAAGGAAAAGACCCCACTGAGCCCAGTGCATAGTCAGTCTCCAAGAACATCTCTGCCTGGATGTCCTTGGCATCTGCCACCTGGGCACAAGCTCAGTGTGGGACATGTCTACTGGGTGAGTGGGCTCCGGCGGCTGGCCAGTCTGCCCACTGGGGAGCCTTAGCCAGGACTTATTTCTTTCTCTAAATAGAATCAATAAGGGATTTGTGATGCATTTAATAGCCATTAGAAGACTAGAATTTGATTTGGTCTAATTACCCTGTTGGAAAACCATTGCCATTTATCCCTAAAGGTAACAGTGGCTTGGAAGGCTCAGAACTGAATGCTGTGAGCAGGGGCCACTGGGGGCCACTGGGGCTGTGAAGAACATGGCTTGAGCTCTCAAGGACGCTGACCCAATGCATGATATTGACCACCCCTCAACAGGGCAGACACCTTGCCTGTCAATCCCATGGGGACACATATGTGCTCTGGCTGTGGATTTTCTGCCTCAAGGTCATTATGTTATAAAAGCTCTTTCTGGTTTTTTATTTTCATTAAGACTTGATAACTGTGGGAGGCAAAAGCTACCAGCACGGCTCCCCCTCCCTGCCGTGCCAGGACTGGGCTGAAACCGTGGGATTCCATTTCTCCGTGTGACTGCAGAGTGTTCCTGCTCATTCTTCAAGGGCATCTGGAACCCAGGGGAGCCCCGAGGGCCTCAGAGCCAATCTTTATGGATGGTGGCAGAACTGTCCTGTTTTATTTTTGCCAGGTGCAGGATGGCTTGGAGGAGGATGCAGGGACACCCGACCCACTTCCTGCAAATCCCCTCTTAGCTATGATTTCAGGTCAGGTTTCTGCTGTGAGATTGTGAAACTCTAGAGCTTTTCCCTCCAGTGGGGAAATCTGGGAGCCTGGGGAGACCCACCAGGGGTCATGATGACCCCCCACAGCCAGGCCCTGGGTGCCAGCCTCTGCTATACCTGTTCCCAGGAGACAGGCAGAGGATGGGCAGATGTGGCAGCAGGGACCAAGGACTCTTCAGAACATCTGTGTTTAAAAAACTCTGCTAGCAAGTTCAAATGTATTTGGAAACACTCGGTAGAGAAAAAGAGTTTGAATCACCTAAGCAGTCTAGGGCAGTTGCCAGCCAGGACAACTAGGAACCTGCTGGTGAGGCTAATGTACAGTTTTGAGCAATTCCATGTGAAGTGACATTTCTAAGGATTCAAGGGCTGGAAGTCAGGGCAAAGGAAGACACAGGTGACAGAGGTAACACCATTCCTTGCTTTCAGAAATAAAAGCTCAATATCTGAAAACCTCCCCACTCCCATTTTCCTCCCCTCTCCACCTGTGAGTAGCCTGGGCCGCGTCTGGCTGCCTGGGGCCTTCTGAACCAAACACAAGGGCTGTCTTGGGGGCTCCCAGAGGTTCTTGGCTGGGAACAAGTCCCTCTCTGGGCACTGAGAAGGGGGCTGAGGTTTGGGTCAAAGGTCTTATGACCACTATGACCACAAGTTGTTTTGTGTAGAAACTCTTTCAGAAAGTTGGCGTCTCCTCCTTCTCACTCCACCTTCCTTCCCCGCAAAATGGCACCTCCAGGCAGTGCATCTTAACTAAGACGTATAGAAACCAAATGGCAATGACTTATCAGAAGTGTAACAGCAGGCGCCTGAGTTTTTTTTCTTGTTCTTCACCCAATCCATTCATTCATTGTTCATTCTTCACCATTCCTTCATTAATCACCCTTCCTTCATCGCCACTAATAATGCTCAGTCATCACTAATAATCACCTTCCATCTGTCAGGCCCAGTGTTAGGAACCAGTGATTCAGAGATGAGCAAGACACCTTCCCTGTCTTCAAGGAACTTACACACTAACCCCATGAAAAGAAAAAGGCAATAATAAGCAATCACATTTACTGAATGCTCCCCATGGGCTAAGAACCTTACAGAGATTTTCTCATTTGATTCATCCAGTAGTGTTATGGGTAGAAAGGGTCATTCCCATTTTTATAGGGGTGAAAACAGTTTTCTAGGTGTTAAGTGGTTTTTATAGCTAGTAGGTGGCAAAATCAGCAGGATTTGAACCCAGGTCTGACTAACTCTGAAGCCTGGGCTCCAACACCTATGCCAACTGCCTCCAACGACAGGGTCCAGGCAGTTGATAAACATGAGGCACAGAGAGGCCTAAGAGTGAGGCAGGGAACAGAGTGCAGCCCAGCCTGATGGAGTCAGGAAGACTACAGAAAGGAGAACTGAGCCTCAGAGGATGAGAAGTTGACTGTTTCCTAGGTAAACAAGGAGGAAAAGGCATTCAGGGCAGAGGGCCCAGCAGATGCAAAGGCATGTTGGTATATTTGAGGAACTATAAGCTGTTTGGGTAGGGAGATCTGAAAGAGGAGGCAGAGAAATGGGGAGTGGTCTCTTCATGGAGGACTTGGGGCCACGCCATGGAGTGAGGCCCCTTACTGTGAGCAATGGGGACTGTGCAAGTCTCTGAGCAGAGGCGGGGCATCTCAGCATGGCATGACAGCAAGAGCATTTTGGCTATTGAGGGCAGAATGGACTTGAAAGAGTTAAGACTAATTAAGTCCATTAACCTACCCATCCAGTCATCAATTTACCCACCCACCATTTATCTATTTACCCACCCATATACTCATCTACCTATCCATCCATCCACATACTACTTGACTCGTATGCTCACTTGTTCATTCATTCATTCACCCACCCATTCATCCACTCACTTGATCAATCATGTATTCATTTATTCATCAAATATTACTGAACCTCCAACATGTGCCAGACCCTGGCTGGTGTTAGTAATTTAAAGTCAAAGGGGGCCCAGTCAGGGAGTTTATGGTCCAACAACCTAGAGATTTCAGTGCAAAGTGTCAGTGGCCATGTGAAAGGCAGAGACAAAAGATTGTGGAAGCCAAGAGGAGGGAGCCATTAGTTCAACTGGGGACGATCCAGGAAGGCTGTACAGAAGAGGTGTCATCTGATCTGGTTCTAGAAGCTGAGTTCTCCAGCCAAAGAAGAGAGGCAATGGTCTTCTGGGACGAGTATCAGGTGGAGAGGCCTTGCTGGGTGGAGAGACCAATCCAACCAAGTCCATTCCCAGGAGGAAACAGCTACATTTAAAGCTGGGCTGCATTTTAAAAGAATTATTCCTGGCCCTCAGCTGGTTTAAACACAGATGCCTCTGTTAGAGCTAGCACTCCATGCACATTCCCATTTACATGGAGTGACCCATCCCAGGAGCTGGAACTCAACTCCCACGTGTAATGGGAACCCTGTGCTCAGTGTGCTGAGAGGAAACAATGTTTCCTCTTTCCCATGAAGCCAAGGGCTTTGAACTTGTCTCCAAACCTCAGACAAGATTCAGGCTTGCAAGCAGCTGAGCAGACTCCCTCCTCCACGAAACCCACGTGCCTTACCTTGGAACCGGATAGTGTCGTTGATGATCTCCAGCGTGTCGGCCACAGCGTTGTACTCTCCCACCTTCACCTCCCTGCTGTCTGCAGGGAGCAAGAGACGGGGGCTGGTTAGACTGAGTCCTGCCTTGGGTCTGGGGCTCTGCCCCAGCCCTGCCCCTCGCGCAGGTCCTGGCTGTGTTCTTGCAGGCTCTCCTCCCAGTGCCTCTTCCAGGTGCCCTCACAAAACCCCCAGCCCGACCTGGGCTGGAACAAACGCCCTCTCACACCGTCTCAGCCACTGGCCTCCTGTCCTTTGCTGCATGTCATGGGCGGGGAACCCACACCCCTCATGGCTAGACTCTCTGTGTGTTACCAAGTCCTTCCTGGCCATGGAGCTGAACGGTCTCTGTAACATTCCCCTGTCTTCTGGCTCTGCCATCTAGGACCACACAGACCACTTCTACTCTGTTCTAGGGCAGCCCTAGAGACTTGAAGGTACAAAGAAATCATTCTCCTGGTACCAGCTGCTAATGTTCCTTACAGAACATCATTTCTACTCCTCACTCGATGCAGGCCCCTCTTGGGCCACACCCCACAGTGTCACTGCCTGTTAATAGAGTGTAGACTCAAGGGCTGACCAATGCCCTTTAGGCATGGTCTGGTCAGCAGCAAGTAGAGGGGACCATCTCCTTGTTCATTCTGAACATTTTTTTCCTACTGGTGCAACCTGAGGGGCATTAGCATCTCTCAGAGGCCCCCCTGCTCTGCTCGTCACACTGAGCACAGTGTCCTTTATATGCACTTGTTCAGCTGTATTTTCAGACCCATGTGATATGTTTGAATTCACCTCTGTTCTCAATACCATTCTGTTGGTGGCTTTAGGGCGCTGTTTGGGTTGTCCCAGGGATAAAGGTGGTGAGGACTGGCCCAGGGCAGTGGCAGGATGAATGGAAAGTGGGCATCAGACTGGACAAAGGTTTCTTTTTTCCAGGTAAAATCTGGACAACTGGGTAATCAAATGGGTGGGGGAGATGGGGAACAGGGGAGTGAAGCAAGTGACTGGGGGGCTCAGGTGCCGTTCCCTGGGTGGGGAGCCTGTGGGAGGGACCAAGAGGCAGGAAAGATGAGGTGTCTGGTTTGGACGCGCTGAGCCTGAGAGTCTGTGTGTCAGGGTGGTGTGGTGGTATCCTGGGTCTGGAGCCAGGGGAGAGGTCTGGGCTGCCGAGAGAGTTGGGGCCTTCAGCCTACTCCCATGTAAGCTGGGAGTTGGAGCAGAGGGCAGGGGAGAGACCCTCAGGGACACTGCCAAGCGGGGAGAGGACAGGAGCACAGGCATAATCCTGGGGATGCCACCCCCTGGCGGGCGAGCAGGGCCAAGATGCTGCAAGGGGACTGGGAAGGACTGACCAGGACACTGGGAGCAGGAGCCAGGAGAGACTGGGTGTCACAGACACCAAGGAAAGGGACATTTCACAAGGGAGCTGGCCTGCAGTGTCACATGCCACTGAGAGACTGGGGCGACAAGCCCCTTGAACAGGGGGTCAGTGGACTTGGCATGTGGGTGGTATTGTGAGCACAAACGAGGCCGACTCGGGGAAAGCGGGGGTCAGGGGCAGAGTGCCCAAGGCCAGGAGTGTGGGAAGAGAGCATGCAGGCCTGGGACAGAGCCAGCTTTGGCAGGGCTGGCATGGGTGGGAGGGGCCTGGCTCCCCAGAGCCAGCGGTGTGCCTGAGGCCGTGCTAGCCATCTGACATGCCCTTTCCCCTGCATTCTCACACTTGTGTGGTGTCAGCGGTTGCTGTACCACCACACAGATGAGGAAACCAAGGCTCAGGGCGCCACTAATAGCAGAGTCCAGATTCAAAGCCAGGAGTTTCCCCACAGCCCATGTTCGCCTACACCCTGGGGCTGCCTGGATGGGGTCCCTGGGAGGGGACAGCTCTGCACCCACCTGCCCACTCCCTGAGCCACCTTTGCTTCCTGAGCCTAATAGCTGCAGAGAGGAGTGGCCACCTGCCAAATTGCAGGGCGAGTACGTCCCCAGAGCTGCAGACTCTAGTCACCACAATGCCCAGAGGTTTATAAAGGCACTGGCTGCAAGAATTCCAAGTGTGCACCTGGAGGGACTGCCTGCCAGGGGTCCAGCTGTAAGTGGGTTTCTTTGCAGAAACGTGGGTACACTGCTGGCACCTTATAAATACTCAGGAAGTGGGGCAGGGAGTACCACAGGCCACACTTCTGCCTGTGTTCCTTTGACTGTGGGGTGGAAAATAGGGCTATAAAAGTCACTTACTTCTCCCCACAATGGTCTCCCTGCTATTTGGGAGATGTCACACTGTGCAGGTGGCTGTCACTTGCCTGGGTCACAGCTCCTAAATGTCACATTAACAGACTCTGCTGGGAGCTCCAGCATCCCTTCTCTGGTCTTTTGAAGTCTTCAGCCCCAATCAGCTCCTGCCGCTCAGAGGCAGAGACTCTGATTTATTTATTTGGTGTGGGCAGGCAGCACATGAAATATGCAGGCTGACTGGAATAAATCCTCAGGAGCCGGGAAGTGTTGTGGCTGGCACCCCACTGTGCCCCCAGCCACACACATGCCCCTCTGACTCAGCACCAGAATATTCTTCATCTTCCTACTACGACCATAATCACCATAATCTCAGGTTAAGTGAATGCTCGGAGCCACACACTGGGCAGCCACCAAGTGGGCACCTGAACTTGGGTCTCCTAGTTCTGAGTCAGTGCAATTTCACAACCCATATGGAGCAGGGCTGCTGGTCATTTAGCCCATATTTACTGAATGCCCACTGCATGCCAGGCCCAGCCCGAGGTATTCTATAATAAGGAATCCCTCAAAAGCAGCAGTGTAGGTGGTAAAGATTAGGTCATCTCCTCATTTTTGACCAAGGTGGCCTTGGACATCGTGGCCACTGAAAGATGCTTATGCTAAATCTCTTAATCAGTTCATTCATTCATTCATTCAATAAACATTGACTGGGTACTTATTATGTGCCAGTCTCTATGCTGGAAGTTAGTGATACAAAGATCTTAAAAAATACATAATCTCTGACCTTGCAGTTTAGTGTCTGCTGTCTGACCAACCCTACCTGGGTGGTAAAATTATTCCCATTTGCAGATAACACTTCCCTTACAGCACATGCCCTGTTAGCAGGTGGCTGTGACTATAAAATGGGAAATTTTAGAGTGGATATGGGGAGTAAAGAGGAGAATTAAGGCAGTTTCTGGCTTGGGGCCTAACTCACAGCAAGTGTTTGATAAATTTAGTTATCTGAGTCATGATAAAAGTCACTGTGAGCTATTTGCTAGGTCCCTAAACTCCCTAGGTTTCCTTACTGCCATCATTCCCCACAATGTTCCCTTTTGCTGGAAGGTCACTTTTTCTTTCCCTCACCAAACCAGCATACCCTAAAGGCTCCTCTTCCAGGAAGCCTTCCCTGAGCACTCCTCCTCCCCTCTGAGCATCCCCATTGTGGGCCCCTAGTGCTGGAGCTACACCCTAAGTGGTCTAGTGCTTCCTGCCAGCCGGTTGGTTCCTGAGCAGAACCTGAAGCCTTGCTTCTGACTTGCTAGGCAGCATAGAGTCTTATCCCCTGCTCTGCCTGGGGCCCCTCCCAGGTCTGCAGGTAGAAAGATGGTGCTCCCTGGTTCTTCCATTTGTCCGTGGTCCACATGGTGGCCAGTGATAGGTGCCCAGTGCTTTTAAATGTTAACTCTTGGGCCCCTTGTTAACTCTGTTATGCAAACAATGCTTTTATTTGGATATAGATATACTCATTCAGATATTGACAGGGCCTTGCAGACTCCACGTGGACCTGGGGACTTGTGGACAAACTAGAAAGGTCCCCTGGGGTCGGGGTGTGTGTGGAGGAACTAAGCAGAGGTAGAGGGGCCCCAGGGTGAGGTCTGTCACTGGTTGGTCTTCCGGTCCCACAAACTCTGCTGCAGGGTGCCACTGACTTACTGTGTAGCCAAAAAAGAAGTTAAGGGGATGCAAGACATATACAAATGCAACAGGTTATTTGCACCTAGAGCACCTTTTTTCTCTTCTTTTTGGCTAACTGCCACTGGTCCTTCAGAATTAATCACAGATGCCACCTCTCCGAGGTAGCCTTCCTAGAATCTGCCAGGTGGAGCCAAGTGCCCCTTGTCTGAATGCCCTTGTCACATATCACACCCAGCTGGGGTCCTGTGTCTGCTCCCCACTGGACCAGGAGCTCCCTGAAGGGAGGGACCGCATCTTCCCCATTTCAGCCAGGACACCCTCTGTGCCCAGGCAGGACCTGGCATGCAGGTACCAGGAAATGATTGTTAAGAAACTTCAAAAGCCCAAACCATAGGAAAAAGGAAGCATTTATCCATATCAAAATTAAGAACTTCTGTTCAACAAGGACTTTAAGTTTATAGACAAGTGACTGAATGGGAAAAGATATTTGCAAAGCCAACAAGGGACTGATATCTACAGTATATAAGGAACCCTTACAAATCAACAAGAAAAAGACAGTATCCTCAAAAATGGTTAAAGCATTGGAACAATTAACAAGTGGCTAACAAGCACAGGAAAAAATGCTTAAACCTCATTAATAATCAGTGAAGTATTTAAAACTAAGAAAATGATATTATTTTATCCCTTTAGATTGGCAAAAAATGAGAGCTAGGGAACACGGAGTGTCAGTGGGTGGGGGGACAACGGAATCCTCACATGATGGGGGTGAGGACGGGGGTGGGCACTGCATGAGCCATCTGACAGTGTTTAGGCATGTTCAGTGTTTACACACATTCTGACCCAAAACTGCTGCTCCTGGACACTTATCCTAAAGAAATACCCAGTGGGTTCCTAAGGGGACATGTACAGGGATACTTATTCTTTGTGGAGTCAGGGAGTAGAAGGTAACATGGGTGTTTGTTGCTAGGAGAGTAGATGGGTAAAGTGTGGATGCCCTCCTTGTCAATGACCAGGAAAGCCATGGGCTAGATGTACAAACAGGAACAGGGAAGCATCTCCGGATAACAAAGTGTTGAGCAGGAAAAAAAAACAAGAAGCAGAAAAAAATACATAATTTATTTGCATTGATGTAAATTTA